GAATGATGCTTGGTTTCTGCAATGACCACCTCATGCAGGATGTTATCCGACTAGTGGCGGTGCACAGAGAACCGGGCACGTATGCCTCATGGGAAGCTCTTCTGGACGCGATCGATGCGCCTCTGAGTGATCCCGCTGCGATGCGCTTGCTCTCGGCAGCGTACTCGTATCCTATGACGCTTCGCCATTACCTTCCAGGTACTAGCTCGTCGACGGGGATGGAGAACCTCACGATATGCTGCTGTACTTGAACTTGTAGCACTATGCGCCACCAGCGAGAAGCGAGCTGCACTGTACGTCCTTGGCGCGAGGGCCGAAGCGACAATGCCCAAGCACATGTGGGGCGTCCTGAACCCGCACCGCGTGCATCTCAAGATGGTCGGCAACCACGTCCCTGTGTTCCGGAAGCTCCCGCCCGAAGATAGCGACGACGCAGCTCACGTGAGCTTTTGCAGCTCGCTCTTCCACGAGATGGCGCCGTCAACGCCGTCACCCGATGCATTCGTGCTCTTCAACCCAGGGCTGGGCCATCCCGCGCTCTCTGCACTCTGGGCGCCGTCGCTCTCGATGGCCCTCGCGACGCGCAAGCCGCTGCTCATCACGTGCTTCAGCGCGATCGACTTGCACCGTGACTTGACGGCATTGGAGACGAGCGCGTCGACCCTTCGTGGACGGCTCCACTTTACGCGCTCGGCGCAGCTCAACCCCTTCCAAAGCCGCAAGGCGACCGTGGACCCTGCGGCGCTCCTCGCCCCCGTGCACACCAACCAGTACGCGATGGTCGTCCGCCTCACCGACTAGCATGTACGACACGCTGAACGCTATATCTTCTAATCGGAGTGCTTATGGCGCTTGGACTCCTTCTTGGCCTTCTTCTCGCTCTTGTGATGCTTGCGCTTCTTCCTACGCTTGCAACATGAGCCAAGAAGACGGGCATGCGCGTACGACGATGACTCGCCAGTCTCTTCCTTGAGCTTCTTGAGCAGCTTCTTCTTCTCTTTGGACGAGAGCGACGCGAGGTATGCGCGCTCAGGATCTACTCCAGCGTCGTCGATCGCAAAAGACGATGTGCGTGTCCCTACCGGCCGCGTCGTCGTCGTCGTCGGACGCAAGGATCTCAAACTCGCCCGAGAGCTCTGTGCGCATCTCGAGCGGCAGCGACTTCATCACCAGGTCGTTCTTGCGCGACGCATTCATCTACGGCATGGTTTGAGATTTGAGTGT